TTTTGAATTTTGTCTTCTATTAAGATTGCTTGGAGGCTGTTGTTCCTTGTAGTTGTTGTTGAGTTTGTGTTTAGATCTAAAAACCTCTTTTTTCTTTAATGAGTCTGTAGTCATCTTTTTTGGGGTTATATTTTCTTTATCTATTAGATAGCTAATGCTAGCGTTACGAGACTTTAAGATACTGCTCTTTTCTCTAGGTTGTTGGTATGATTTCTTGATTTCCTCATTAACCAAGTCTGCCCATTCTAGTTTTGTATTAAAATAATAAACTGTTTGTTCCATTGATTTTAATTGATCTTCTTTTGAAGCAAAGTACACTAAAGCAGTGCCTTTTTGGTTTCTATTACTATTTGTCGAGATATACACTGCCTTTGCCTTTATATTTTTCAGTTGTCTTAATAGTGCTGATTCTGCTGCTATTTTGGGTAAGTTCTTTACAACTGATTTGAATTTGCTTCTTTTTACAAGTGTTTTTTTATCTAAGAACCCTGGCGTTATTCTTATCATTTTGCCATTTTCGAAGTGCACCTCCCACGAATTTTGCAATTCATCACTTATTTTTTGATTTCGAAATATAACTTCAACTTGCGCAGCCTTTGTCTTGCCGTTGGTCATGAAACATTTTACTATTGCTTTACCATAAAAACTTAGAGCCCTTCTAATTTGATTTGCCTTGGTTTCATTAGGCAGATCCCATAAAGTAAGGCATGTTACAACCTTGTACGGTTTTTCCTTTACTATTGGAGTAGTTTCAATAAATTGATTAGAGTGGTTTGTTGCTTCCACTACCTTGATGCTTCGTTCAGTTTTCTCATGTCGTATACACTTGGGAGTGGCCTCATTGGGACTATCTTCCAATCTATCTATGTCTCTTTTCGGGTTGAGGTCATTTGGCATTTTGATTTGAGACTTGGATTTAGTATTGGTTAGTGAATTCTGATCTGGATTGATTATACTCAGAATCTCTTCTACTCTATAATTGGTAGTACCACATTCTGTTAAAAGAAGTATTTCTTTGATATGTGACACCTTACTACTTGTAGCTGTAGCTTTGTTTTCCTGTAGTATGGCTAGGCAATGAAAAAGGTCCTGTTTGTTTGTTGTTAGGATATCACCTCTTGTGTTTTTGCATCTCAGCCAGTTGAACATTTCGATTGTTTTTCTAATTATGCTTACTACTTCTGTTGAATCCATACCAAGCCACATTGCAATTTTTGATTCTTTATTTCTTTTTTTCGAATGAGCTCTTGAAATAAGATATCGCTTTTCTGTTTGTTTTTCTTAAATAGGTCTTTGAATTTCATAAGTTCTTCTATTTTAAACATGTGATTTACTTGATATATTGATACACATGAGGATTTTTGTTTACTCAATACAAGTTACCAAAAAGTTACATTGATTGCTTGTTTTAGCGATGATGTATTACACATCAGGTTTGTTATTTGTAAATATAAATATTTAAATATTATAATTTATAAATATAATACTATAATAATTTATAAAAATATTTCTTTGGCTTTAAATTTAATATACTAATCTGGGCCCCAATGGGCCCAGATTAGCATATTAAATTTAAAGCTTTATTTTTTTACAATAGTATTAATTAATATTTTATTATTTAAAATTAATATACTTAAATAATTAAAACCTATTAAAGTTGTCTATAAAGAATAATTAGAGTTAGGGTTTTATTGCTAATAAAGATATCTATTATGAATAGTTAGGGTTAGAGTTAGGGTTAGGGTTAGTATTAGAGTTAGTATGCTTTATAAAACAGGAGTGTAGCCAGAGGCGTTAGCCAGAGCAAGCGACTACAAAGTGAGTGAAGCGAGCTCTGTTGGTATTACTGAGCATAGCAAAGAATACAAGCTGTATTGTCTTTAAGATTGTTGTCTATAGAGATTGTTTATTTGCACATTGCTGATGAATATAATTAGGAGCTATTAAAGTTGTTATATCTAATAAATATCAATTATAATTAAAATAATATAAAAAATAATAATAATATTAAAATAATATAAAGTTATAGCTAATAAATATCAATTATAATTAAAAGAATATAAAAAAAAATTAATAATGTTAAAGCCCAGAGCATAGTACTGGATTAGAGACTAGTTTAAAAATATAAAGACTTTATATCATATTGTCACAAAATAACAGACATGGGTATACATGGGTGTCTAAATTATTTTTTTTAAAAAGCAAATTCAACAAACATTTTGACATTGCTAGTTTTTTATATGAATTCTACAAAGCAGCTATACTACCTAATGAATTTTGACATAAAGAATTCAAATAATTCTCTAAAAATTTAACAACTGTGAAATTTAATTTTGCCATTAATGTCGTAGAGTTTCTTGGTACTCCTGTGTACTGGTGGGTCTTTACTATTGACCTCTACCCGCTTGGCTAATATTCTTGATGACTGTGTATCGTACAGGTTCTTTTACCGATATTGTATACACACAGGTAATAGTTTTTCACTAAGTTCGTTTTTCACTAAGTTCAAAGCTTACAACTTCCAAAGCTTGGTTCTTTCCCTTTTGGAATTGATACCTTATATATTATTACTAATCACTATTTGCATCACTGATTATTACATATTATCTCATCGCTCATACAATCAATGTTTTTAACTTTTAATTATTTCCTGTGTATACCCGAATCACGCCATTCATGCATATCGGGATTAATGATGCCTGATAAATGACGAAATATTTCGTCATGATGAATGATGAAACCATTTGTCAGATAATTCCTGATTGATGAATTGACAATTGACGAAACCCCTGACGATTGACGAAACCTATAACGAATTGACAAAACTTATGACGAAATGATGAAACCTATAACGAAATAACGAAACCTGATGAGTTATATTCATACAAGATAGAGTTAATTACCGCGTTTATAAAAATTAAGAAGTGATTTAATGTCAATAACAATAAGAGCTAAAAAAAAATAATGTTTTACAGCTGATTTGAAAATTAAATTTCAGTTGGTAATAACAGTATAGTTTTTGTGTATCATTTGTTTTGATTTTTGGGATGTTTTCAAAAATCAAAACAAACGGTACCACGATAATACATCGGCTAAAAATTATATTATTAAAAAACTATACTGTTATTACCAAAAAATATTTTCAAATCAGCGATAGTGCATAATAAATAACAGCAATAGAGAATCAATATAGGTTGATAACAATATATACATATTAAGATATCTATCGTAATTTTACTTATTCAAGAATGACAATTCAAAAAAGGAAATTAAATATTATTCCAAATCAACCTGACATGAATTTGAACACATGTGAAAGAAGAAAAAGAAAAAAGCCAATGAATCCTTATAATGAAATAACATTCTTTTAAACAATTTAATGTTTAGCATATCCAAAGATCATTATATAGAAGCTTGTTGTTTAATTACTGGCTAAATCAGTTGACAATGTTTCATCAATCAATAGAGGCTTCGTCAAGGGTTTCGTCATTTCGTAATGGGTTTCATCATTTTGGCATAGATTTTATCAATTCACCATAGGTTTTGTCAATTGTCAGAGGTTTCGTCAATTATCAAGGTTTTGTTATGATGAAACCATGACGACGTCATTCGTCATCGTAAAAATAATTTTGTCAGACATCATTAATTAGGATTATGACCCGATCATGATCCCTTGACCTGACCCTTGTGCTACGAATACCCAGGACCACAACAATTAAGAAAAATTAATTTCAACAGACTGAATATCGAATAATTTTTATTAAGAGGAGTAATTTAGACACCCATGTATAGGCATGTGTGTTATTTAGAAAAAAATTATATCCCTACATAGTTTCAAAATAATGCCCATGCATGTTCCAAAATTTGTCTCTCATCGAAGGAGTAATAACAAAAAAGAAAACTATGAAATACAGCTATGAGTTATCTGTCTCTTCTGCTCATATGCATATGTACAACAGTGCAGAAATCGAAAGTATCAAGAAAATGAAAGTACTAAAACTGATGGCTTCCTAAAGCTATTTGCTCATTGCAAGGAGCAGATGAAAAAAAACCAGATAATTCATCTGGAAAAAATCCTGAGTTTCTCTATGGCTACTCTAAACTAAAAGCGACTGTCATCCGACAGGCCACCTTTATGAAAAAATGTAAGAAATTTTTTCATGCTTGCCATCTGGGCAGGGCACTTCAATATACACAAAAAAACTCAAGAAAAACCTCTTGTGACTGTCATCTTTCCAAAGGAAACAAAAAAATTTATAACTATTGTCTAATAGTCCATAACTAACAAAAAAAAACAACTGAAAAACAGTAACACTGGGTACCATTGAGTTGCTATATATGAGGGCCAGATAGGGTGGAGTAGGACCCCGGACATCTCTCATATAGGTCATAACTGATCTGTATAAATTTGGGGGGTTTTTACTATTTCTAAAATCAAGTGAATTCGCTAAAAATTTAATATAATATATAAATTTTATAGTAATTCACTGAAAATTCAATTATCACATATATATTTATAAAAAAAATAAATTTAGATGTATTTTTGAGTGCTGAAAAAGTTTAC